CCCAAGTGCTGCCCCTTGCACTCGTGCTGTGAACGTATCCATCAGGATGTATCAAAGCCGTATCCTATAATCCTCCAGGGTCTAGACTGTCTCGATGCTTTGTGCAGTCTTTGGTGAACTCTTGTTTAAACACACAATGCTGACACGCTGGTTTTCTTTTTATCTGTTGGTTTGCAAAATTACTGTTTTTGCAGTCGAGGGGCATTTTCTTTCACCCCGGGAAATACATATAATAGCGATGGCTTGATATTATGAAAAGTTATCTGTTGAGAAGGAAAAAAAAACCCATTACCGTTGAAAAAATATTTTGCCGAGAAAGGCATTTACAGCGAAAGAATTTTGTTAAGCGAACTATCAAACTCACACTCGCGGGAAGACCCGCAGAGAAAATGTTTCGCGAAGTATTTCTCCGCCGCGATGACGCATCTCGTCGTCGTTAATGCCGTTTCGCATCTTAAAAAAAAAAATTACACGAATCCGCGTTCTCTCTTTGAAGTTTGCATTTTAGCACAATCCCTTGTTGCCGTTGCGAAACCTTTCCCGAAAAACATTAAACTTTTAAACAGCGCTGTCATCCGACAGCTTTTTTTGCTCGCAATGAATCTTCACACATATGGTCACCGCACCAGGGACATCAAGAGGCACCGAATTTCCACTGGAAAATTTGGACGGCGCGGGCGCGGCACAGCGGCGCGTTTGCTTCGCTTATTTTTTAACCTCAGCTCGCCACCGCCGCCTTTTTCTTTTGAGGCCCAGAGAGAGAGAGAGAGAGAAAGCCAACTCCGAAAGGGCCCCGACCATTTTTTCGTTCCGTGCCTGCTCTCGGTCGCCTGCTGCTGCCCGCCGCTGCCTCCACCACCGCGAGGGGTCCCTACGTAAATCCCGCCGTCCAAACAAACAGCGGGCCAGTTTTTTTTAAGAGTCGGCAGACGGCACCGGCAAAACGCGGCAGCTCCAGCAGGGTTAAGGGGTTGGTAGCGTAGCGGCGCTCCCCTCCGGCACTCCTCCCCGGGGAGGGCATTGACGTCAGAAGAGTGTAAATGAGGCATCTCAAAAACTAAATTGTGCAATATTGGTACAGGTTTCTCCAAATAATCACGGCAGCGCCTTTAATGTCTGGTTGCGTGCGTGCGTGCGGTAATGAAACTGCCATATCCCAGGATCCCATTGTTTTTAAACCTGCGGACAAGATCTTGCGCTCAGAGTCGTGCACATCATCTTTGTCTTGGCCACGGAAGACGATAAAAACCCATTTTTGCGGGGCAACGTGCGCGTTTTGCTTGCCTGCTATGTCTGAAGCTGCCGTGTGGAGCCGCTCGTGTCTGGCGCGTGATTTGTGGTCTGCGCGGTTCGCTTAAAATAAATTGCGCCTTTCTCTATTAACACGTTAGATAAGAAGGTGTTGGGTTTCACAGGCCACCCTTCGGGGGTGGGGGTCGTTCTCCCCACCTGCCACTTTGGGCATACGTGACCAGGTGTCAATTGCAAGTAAATTGGGTGCGCGCGAGCCCTGGCGCTTTGAACGTCCGTGTTATTTAAAGAGGAATTTTACACAGTCGAGGCACAGGAATTTCTCTCGCTCGGTGTTTTTGTTATGTTCGTAAGAAGTCTCCGGCCCTTCGGGACTCGTTTAGGCGGCGCTCCGGGCAGCGCTGCCCTCATGGGACGGTGGGAGGGATGGGCCCCGTGGCCTCTGCTTGTGCAACTTGATCGTGAATGTTGATGCGTTGATGCCAATGCATTCAGAATGTTTGTTACGTTAAAATTAAATGTGCGCTTGCGCAGAAGGAATGTCGACATTTTTAAACAACATATTCCTGTGGCCGATAACTGTTTACATTTTGCGTACAATTATAGCCTACGCCGACCTGCACTGACCAGCGTGGTGAAGTATGGCCAAAGTAAATGTTGAAGATTTGCTCAGTGTGGGGGAAACCCTTATCCAGCAGTGGATTGTTAAGGGAGTTATACACGTACACATTACAGTCCGTTCTCCTATAACGCGTGTGGTTTTCATAACACGAATTGGATATACCACAATTAATGTATTAGAACGCATTTTTTTTATAACGCGGATGTGAATTGGCAAAAACGCGAATGAGTGAACGGAACTACGTCGCGCGAGTAGGGAATACGTAGTCGTGCGGCTGCCTCGGTGTAGCGTCACACAAGGCGGGATGCTGCTGGATGCTTCTGGACGCCACCAACCACGTGCCTTAAGTCTTTGTTCAGCCTGCGTACGCATCTCGCGTGTTGTCACGGACGGCGCTTACCCGATATATTATTTATGAAAGCGTTTTTTTCCATAACGCGGTGTTCTTCAGGGATGGAACTACTGCGTTATAGACTAACAGATTGTATATGTGTACCGAATTCTGGAAGTGGCTTCTGAAATCTGAGCCTATTTTTATTTCGATGTGTGTAAATCAATAGTTACGTATTGGCTAAGCCATGCCAACCAGTCAGCAGTATTTTAACTTGGTTGTGTGTCCTGTTTTGTTCACTGTTCTGTACGATGTTAAGTGTAGTCATGTCGGAAGATGTGTACCTTTGCCCAATGTTTGTTTCCAGATGAGTACTTTTAGTGCGAACTTTGCTTTTGAGCACTTGCAGGACGGTCATTTATGTGGTATTTGGTTGTTTTTAGCAAGTGCTCGTTTCAGATAAGATAATTGAATATTAATAGTCACGTAATATTCTAGAAAGCATGTAAATACAGAACTCCTCTTATCCGCAGCTCTATTAGCCATGACTCCCATCATCCACGGCATCTGTAGGGCCCACAAAACCTCATTATCCGCCACCCTATTTCTTCATATTATCCTCAGCTTATCAGCAAATAACCCCGCGGATAATAGGATCCGTGATATTGGTCCCCCATATCACTGCGGTTAAGATGACCTCTCCTGTGTGGGTCTAAACAAAGAAAGCATTAGATTTTTTTATCTCAAGATTTTCATTTTACTATAATTAAGAAACAAAAAGCTAATTGCATTGGATGAAAGTTACCACTCAAGATTAAGACATCTTTAGACGCTATTTTTCTTCTCTAAAGTGTGCCTCAAATGTTTCTGAATGTCTTTATTTGGTGAGCTGAAAAGTGTTGTTTTTAAGCGAAGAGACCTTTGGTAGTGGTCCTCAAACACAAATATATATACCTAACCACGTGTGTCATGAACACTGCCCTATATCAGAACACATATATAGGCAACTCAATCTGTACACTTTTTAACTTTCTTAAAATGAACCCATTGTAGTGTGCGACCTCCATCTATAAAGTCTGTAAATCTCTGCACCCTATCCCTGCTCGGCCTAGCTTCTCTAAAGAAGGGCCATTGCCAGAAACATCAGCGTATACCTATTACATTACAGATGTGTGGGGTATAGACCAATACCGATGGTGAATGTGGTCTGCTTGTATCGTTAGGAAAGTTTATATCTCATGCGGCGTAGTCTCGTTTTGTGAAAAAAAAACACGCCGATGCCTTGTACGTATGTATGTTGAACTTCTTTCGCACTATGCGTGGTCAACCGTGCTAATCAGAGGTGCGGGGGGAAGATACGAAACTAAACACAAAAAGCAGTTCCAAAATACTCTTTGGTTCTTTCGGTAAAGTCACGTAGGTATAAAATAAGATAAATGAAATCACATACCTACGCGACTTTACCGAAAGAACCAAAGAGAATGGATCCCTGCAGTCACGAAAACTTCAAATCTAGATTCAGTTCTAAAATGAAAGAGTTTTCAACATGGATGATTTAAAATTGCGTAGCTCCAGTGGCTTCCTAATATCGGAAGGAAGAGCATTCCAGACGGCCGCAGAAGCACACCTGGTAGCGCGCGATGCTGTGACCATCTCGTCGTGAGCGGTGACACCGTTTCAGCCGTTTCCTCACCACGTCGCTCTGGCCCAGCATCTATTCGCATTGCAAAATGCGAGAATTGTAAACAATCGTCCCCACAAAACCACCCATCACATCAACCATGGAGAGTTGGTGGAGAGGGTAGGGGTGTGAAGGTGGCATCATCTTGGCGTTGCAGCGCTGCAGCAGTCTAACCTAAAAACTAAACTATTTTTTATTTTACCAGGTAAGGCCCACTGAGCTATGTAGCTTTTTTTCAGAAGCAACCTGGCCACAAATGACAGCTCGAGGAAGTGACTTCTCACGTGTACATTTATAGCAGCCAAATACTCTAAATGCGTGTTTATAAATGTAGAGGGAATCAACTGGAGAGACCGGGGAAAAATCTACACGACCGCGAGGAGAACACGCAAACTCCAAATATACAGCAGGCGTCAGGGTCAGGATCTAATGCACGATCTCCCGAATCCCAGGCGAGGTGGTTAAAATCTCGCCACCGTCGGGATGCGGGCGTATGTGTAGCACTGGCCACTGCGAATAAATAGGAAACAGCCGCTAACCCAAACGTGCCTGCTGTCTCTCTGTCTGCCCCCCCCCACCCCCTCCCCACCTGAGTTCTTATCTGGCTCTGGGGTTCCCACAGCCCGAGCAGGGCCAAAGACGGGCCAGGATGACCCGGCCACTTGCATCGCCCCCCTCCTCGCCCGCCATCTTGCTTCTTTGTGACCCACACAATTGCGGTAGTCGCGCTGCCACAGCAGGGTTGTAAAACGGATAATTAATAGAGGCCGCCGAGGTGGCATTTGCCCCCAGGGAAGAGTGGTGGGGAGTTGGGGGGGGGGGGGGCGTTGGAAGGACGCGGCAACCGCACTTGCTCGCACGGTCGCGCTCTCGTTCGCTTGCCGACCCCCCCCCCCCCCGCCCCCCAAACCGGGCGGTTTCGAAACCCACCGAGGTCTGAACGCGCGGCAACGGAGTGAGCGGCAAGCGGTGGGTGGGAAACAACGAGGGCGGCGGCGGCGGCGGCGGGAGCGGGCGAGCACTATCGCACGGCACGGTTTGTTTTTAATTAACGGGCCCCGCCTCTGGCCGCAGGGCCAGCCGCCGGCGGGTTTGGGCCTTCGCGCGGTGGAGACGTTGGCAGGCGGCGGCGGTGGCGTCCGAACGACGCGCGTGGCGGTTCTGCTGCTCCCCGAGGAGATTTACCGTTGGCAATAACGGAGCGCGCTGTCGAATTGCAAATGCGTGAGACGGAGGCCAATGCATAAATCTGCAAACTGGTTCCATACGCGCTTAACCCTTTCCCGTTTCCCGTTCCGATGACGTACGTGTACGTCATCGGAACGTGTACGTGTACGTCATCGGTTTTTCTTACCGATTCCGTACACCTACGTGAATTAAATAAGTTTATCGATACCGAGGCTCCCACAAGGCCATGCGGGAGGGCGTGCGGCACAGTTTGGCACCGGCTATCGTAGAGCGCGGTCGTGTCACTACGGGCCTCTGCGGTGAGTACAGTGTCTTTAAAAACGACTGCGCTACGCCTCTCGACATTAAATTAACGCTGGGCCGCTTGCGCCTTGCGAGATTCAGCGATGAACGGGACACCCACACCCTGCTACTTGCAGACGTCTCCAAATGGGAAAGGGTTTAAGGCACATTTGTCCACTTGTTGTGTTATATCACGCAGTATTTGTTACAGTGTTCTCTTCCTGTGTCTAAGGAGATCGCTCGGTGTGCTTGTGCACAAATACGATGGCAGCAAGTGTTTCGTCGTGAGCATCGCCGCCAAGCATGGCGTTCAGTGCAGAGCCAAAGGCGTCTTGAACCACAGTCGTGGGTTTCTTTAGAGGCATCGAGACGATGCACTTTTACCGCTGGAGCATCGCGAAATGATCACCACAGTCTCCCCCCCACGTAATAAAAATTATTGTTTCAAAAAATTCCTCCATGACAGTATTCCAATAATAACCAGTGGCGAGTCAATACACGATTTGAAAATATTATTCTTGAGTTTAGCGTGATTTGTGGAGGCCTGAGTGCCAGTAAAACTACCAGTAACGTTGAACATTAACTGAGCGGCTATGATATTATATTATTTGATGATAAAATCTAAATCCACTTGAGAATTAAAAAAAAAATCGCGAGGGATACATTCTGCAGATGCTCGTGAATAGCAAATTTCACGGATAATGAATTGCCTCAAATAAATACGTAAATAAGCTACTAAATGAAAGAAAATTATCATTATAACAGATCTCTTTATCCCATCACTTTATCTCGCCACTTTACCTTGTCACTTTCTCTCTCGATGCAGTCGTGTAGAGTTCCAGATGGGATTCGTGGATAGCAAGTTCGTGAATAATGATGGAATACTGCAATGACTGATTGATTGAAATAAATGTCGCAACAATACCACATCATGGGTAGGAGTGGCAGAGCGCATAGCACCACTGCGCTATCAGTCCGGTCTGGGTTCAATTCCCAGCCGTGGTTTACATCAGTGCAGTGTGATATCTGAACTGGTCCGGAGCCCCTGCTTCACCAACCCGCGATGACCAGTGTGGTGAGGTATGGTTAAACAATCCCCAAGATCAACACTCCACGGGGGGGGAGACCTTCATCCTGCTGTGGATTGACAGAGCGCTGTACATCGTCATTATTGAAACCATCAGGTGTCATGTATGATCGCAGGTAAGGAAATACCACGGACAGATTTCTTAATTGAGTCAATATCCATCAGAGCAAAATGCATTTTCCATGAAATATCCAAATATCCGGTGCGTTTCTCCTCACCAACGACATGGGAACAGTGCTCGTCCTGCGCTACTGTCGGCAATTCCACATTCCAACGACGGTGCCGATTTACCCAGAGGACCGCACCCGCTGTTGACTTCCCTTTGACAAAGCGGCGCGCTATGTTTATTGACTCAACGTAGCTAAAGGGGGCCGCGTTGCCCCCAACCGGGGTTTGAACTCTCAACCCCGGCGGTTGGAGTGCAGTGTGGCGCGTGCGCTCTCTAACCACGAGCCGGCGATCGTCGACTCTGACAGGAAACTCGAGTCGAGGCCCCGAGCGGACGAGGTCGCGTGGCGCCCGGCGCCCACTAGATGTCTCTAGCCCTCCTGCTTGAGCCGCCTTTTTTTTTTGCCGTGACGCGTGAACGCAGGGCCGGGGGGCAGGGGGGCGGGGGGCATTTGCCGCTCGGCTCTCTCACAGGAGGTTTTTTTTTAACGGATTGGACCGCGCCACGCGCCGTTCGGCACGATGTCCGACGTGTCTCATCCACGCGTTGGGAAGTTTCGTCCGGGTACTGAATAGAGCGGCTAGGTTCCAACAAGGAGCATGAACCACCACCACCACCACGCGAACTTCGGTCATCCTAGAATACAGTTGCCGTGCCACGCGCTTTCGGATTCGCTTCTGCGGCCGTCTGGAACGCTCTTTTTTTCTGATATTAGGAAGCCACTGGAGCTATGCACTTTTAAATCTATATTGAAAACTAATTTCTTTCTTTTTCGTTTTTAGTTTGTTGTCCTTCACCCGCACCTCCGATTAGCACGGTTGGCTACGTACGGTGCGAAAGAAGTGCAGCATAGTATGTACAACCTGCCACGCATGTGGTGGTCGTGCCGCAAGACGCGATGCATGCTCTCGCCGGCTTAGCTTTCAAGGTCCGACAAGGCCGGGCGCACCCTGTGCAGTGTTGCCGACCTGCTCAATGATTTTCACACTACTTTCCAGCGACCCTTTGGGTTTCCCTTGCGACGAACATGTCGCCACTTTCACTGAGACACAACATATATGCAGCTTTGGGAGCGATGCCCGGTGCGTTTTGAGGATCCTGTGCCAGACCCACGGAAAGAAAACTGTCCCACCTCGTGACACCGTGCGACTCTTTGAGGTCCGTTTGGTGATTTCCCAGAAATTGGCATCACAGATTCCGGGCGACTCGATCCATGGGCTTTGCGGAGCACCCGACCAAGCGGCCAAGTGGATCCAAACATCAGTCGGCTAAAGCAGCCGCACATTCCAGGATTGGCGGTGGTTGTGCGCGCAGAGTGCCCGCAAAAACTGCTGCACAGAGCAGCTGTTTTTCAGCTGCACGCACACTCCGCATATGTAGCGGGCACTCGCGGCATAGCTGCATATGCTACTACCAGCGTTCATCTTACAAAGTCTCATCACACGGGAGAAACAAACAAATAAACGAAAACATTTTTTTCCTGCATTGAAGCGGCTGTACACGGTAGGGACCTGAAAACCCAATTTCCCTGTACAAGAATACGGGTAAACCGTATGGGTTGACACGGTATTAGCAACAGCATCATTCAGCTGCAATTGCATCATCATAAATCATGTGCAATATCATCATCATCATTCAACTGCAATATCATCATCATCAATCAGCTGCAATATCATCATCATTCGACTGCAATATCATCATCAATCAGCTGCAATATCATCATCAATCAGCTGCAATATCATTATCATCAATCAGCTGCAATATCATTATCATCAATCAGCTGCAATATCATCATCATCATCATCATCAATCAGCTGCAATATCATCATCATTCAGCTGCAATATCATCATCATTCAGCTGCAATATCATCATCATCAATCAGCTGCAATATCATCATCATCATTCAACTGCAATATCATCATCAATCAGCTGCAATATCATCATTCAGCTGCAATATCATCATCAATCAGCTGCAATGTCATCATCATCATCATTCAGCTGCAATATCATCATCATTCGACTGCAATATCATCATTTAACTGCAATATCATCATCAATCAGCTGCAATATCATCATCAATCAGCTGCAATATCATCATCATTCAGCTGCAATATCATCATCATCAATCAGCTGCAATATCATCATCATTCAGCTGCAATATCATCATCATTCAACTGCAATATCATCATCATCAATCAGCTGCAATATCATCATCATCAATCATTCAGCTGCAATATCATCATCATTCAGCTGCAATATCATCATCATTCAGCTGCAATATCATCATCATCATTCAGCTGCAATATCATCATCATCAATCAGCTGCAATATCATCATCATCATCAATCATTCAGCTGCAATATCATCATCATTCAGCTGCAATATCATCATCATTCAGCTGCAATATCATCATCATTCAACTGCAATATCATCATCATCAATCAGCTGCAATATCATCATCATCAATCATTCAGCTGCAATATCATCATCATCATTCAGCTGCAATATCATCATCATTCAGCTGCAATATCATCATCAATCAGCTGCAATATCATCATCATCATTCAGCTGCAATATCATCATCATTCAGCTGCAATATCATCATCATTCAACTGCAATATCATCATCATCAATCAGCTGCAATATCATCATCATCATTCAACTGCAATGGCAGCATCATGGACGTGGTGCCTGCGTGCATGCGCAGGCCTCTGCTCGCTGCAGGATAGTCTTTACTCTCGTGGGGCTGAGGGGTCAAGGGTCAAGGAGGGGTCAAGGGAGTTGAGGGGTGAAGGGAGTTGAAGGGAGTTGAGGGGTGGAGGGAGTTGAGGGGTGGAGGGAGTTGAGGGGTGAAGGGAGTTGAGGGGTGGAGGGAGTTGAGGGGTGGAGGGAGTTGAGGGGTGGAGGGAGTTGAGGGGTGGAGGGAGTTGAGGGGTCAAGGGAGTTGAGGGGTGGAGGGAGTTGAAGGGAGTTGAGGGGTGGAGGGAGTTGAGGGGTGGAGGGAGTCGAGGGGTGAAGGGAGTTGAAGGGAGTTGAGGGGTGAAGGGGGTTGAGGGGTGGAGGGAGTGGAGGGGTGGAGGGAGTCGAGGGGTGGAGGGAGTCGAGGGGTGGAGGGAGTCGAGGGGTGGAGGGAGTTGAGGGGTGGAGGGAGTTGAGGGGTCAAGGGAGTTGAGGGGTCAAGGGAGTTGAGGGGTGAAGGGGGTTGAGGGGTGGAGGGAGTCGAGGGGTGGAGGGAGTCGAGGGGTGGAGGGAGTCGAGGGGTGGAGGGAGTCGAGGGGTGGAGGGAGTCGAGGGGTGGAGGGAGTCGAGGGGTGGAGGGAGTCGAGGGGTGGAGGGAGTTGAGGGGTGGAGGGAGTTGAGGGGTGGAGGGAGTTGAGGGGTGTGAAGATGTTTTGGGAAGGGAGGCACCAAGGCTAAGTGCTGGGAGCACCGCGAGTCCTTAAGGTGTCTTGTGTTTTTATATATTGTATAATATAGGTATTTGCGTAGATTTTCGAAATTGGTGTGTTTTATTTACTAATTTAAAGCTGTCCGTTTTAAAAATAGTTGACCTTGTAATTCGGACCCTTTCTGATGATGTTTTGACCTTTTTGTTGTTGTTGTAAATCACATGTGTACTCCATTACTCTTGTGACCTGGGTCTCGCTTGCAAAGCAGCCTTTTAAAATTCTTTGGGTCTTTCGGTAAAGTCACGTAGATAGGTTCACAGAAAATAACAAAAAGCTACGACGTTTCGATCGCAACACAAGCGTTCGTCATC